TGTGCGTCTCTATCTGTGTGTCTGTGTTTCTATCTGTGTGTCTGTGCGTCTCTGTCTGTGTGTCTTTGTCTGTGCGTCTCTATCTGTGTGTCTGTGTTTCTATCTGTGTGTCTGTGCGTCTCTGTCTGTGTGTCTTTGTCTGTGCGTCTCTATCTGTGTGTCTGTGCATCTCTATCTGTGTGTCTGTGCGTCTCTGTGTGCCTCTGTCTGTGCATCAGTATTTGTGTCTGTCTCTGCGTCTTTGTCTCTGCGTCTCTGTCTGTGTGCCTCTGTCTGTCTCTGTCTGTGTTTTCATTTCTTTGTATTCCAATCTTTCCTCAGGAAAAGAAATCAAGGAGTCTGTGCAGCTGCAGCTGCCTGAGAATGTTGTGGAAGGATCAACCCGTGTCACATTCTCTGTCCTGGGTAAATTAAAAATGAAAGAGGCCAATATTGACAAACATGCCAAGTGGTATCACTGAGTCTTGTCTGCCTATTGAGAAGAGTGTAGTTTAGGGGTCTAGGAACTCCCCAGAGAATAATTGTAACCAGGGTAACCTCAACCGTAACCATGGAGATCGCATCTTCAGATCAGACTTCCAAAATATGGATGCGTCGCCAGCCACCACAGTCATGTTCCTGGTCAAAGTCTTCTCCTCTTTATTCAGGGGACATACTAGGCCACGCGCTGCAGAATGTGGAGAACCTGCTGAGGATGCCCTACGGCTGCGGCGAGCAGAACATGGTCCTCCTGGCCCCCAACATCTACCTTCTGCATTACCTGAAAGCCACGAACCAGCTGACCCCTGCTACCCATGAGAAGGCCACAGGTTTCCTCAAGAGCGGTGAGCGAGGCGGCCATTTATTCTGCGGCTTAGTGTTTTAAAGGCTCCACACTGAGGCTTTGTTCACTAGGGTACAGACCAGCATGGACAGCAGAGCCAAGTAAGGAGGGGAGGAGGGAGAAGTAGACGTCTTATGGGTTAAATGATACTAGCATAGCGAAGAGCTGCAGACATTTAAACATCCTGACAACATTGTAAGCATTACAGCCCCATCTCAAGTTAAAAAAAACAAGGTCAAATAAGCGCTCTTTCACACCCCCCTGGGCCGTCACCATGCCAGCGTAAGCCAAAGCTCAGTACCCTGGAGCCCTTACCTCATTGGGAGGGCACTGAAGGCCACGTGAAACAACCAACGAGGGTCCAAGCTGTTAAAGTTTGACGTACCTTTCTGTTTGCCAGGTTACCAAAGGCAGCTGAATTACAAGCATCATAATGGCGCATTCAGCACCTTTGGCTCAGGATCTGGGAACAATTGGTAAGTAGGTTTCAAAGGTGTATTTCTGTCCCCAAGATGGGAACCGGGACTTTGGGCTGGGTTACATCTAAGATGCCACTAGGAGCTGATTGGAGGAACATCTGTGTCCCTCAGGCTGACCGCCTTCGTTGCCAAGTCTTTTACCAGTGCGCAGGAGTTTATCTACATCGAGCCCAAACAAATGAAGGAGGCACATTCCTGGCTGTTCACGACGCAGAAACCAGACGGATGCTTTTTGACTGTGGGGAAGCTTTTCAACAACAGAATGAAGGTGAGAATCCCAGCGACTGGAGATCCGGTCGCCAGCTGGTGGGACGGAGTGGGTGGGGTGGGGTGGAGTGCTCTGCTCCGTCATGCGACTCACTGTCTGAACAGGGTGGAGTGGACGATGACGTGACGCTCACTGCTTACATCACTGCGGCCTTCCTGGAGAGTAAGATGTCAGTGAGTACCCTTATCCGGGCCAGGTGCTCTTATTGTAGCCTATTACTGACTTGGGATTGGGCACCAAAACCAGCTAGTAGACCTTCACTAATTGGCTGTGTTGCAGCCTCAGGATGCTGCTGTAAACCGTAGCCTGGCCTGTCTGAGGTCAGACAGCAGCTACCTGACAAACACCTACACCACGGCCCTGCTGGCCTATACCTTCAGCCTGGCTGGAGATCAGGAGAAACGTGCCCAGCTGCTGGATCACCTGAAGAAAATCGCCTCAGATAAAGGTATAGATTGTGCGTGTCTATCTATCTGTCTTGCTTTCCTGAAGGTATGAGTCCGTCGCTCCTCACGTTGTGTGTATCTCTGAGTCAGAAGGTGGGCTGCACTGGTCCCAGTCATCTTCTGAGAAGTCCGAGGCCCTCTCTGTGGAGATCAGTTCCTACGTGCTCCTAGCTGTACTCGCCACATCTCCACTGACCTCCACCGACTTGGGTTATGCCACCAAAATAGTCCAGTGGCTAGTGAGGCAGCAGAACGAGTATGGTGGCTTCTCATCCACACAGGTAACCGCATACAGGTAACCTCCACCACACAGGTAACCTCCACCACACAGGTAACCCCATACAGGTAACCCCATACAGGTAACCTCCACCACACAGGTAACCCCATACAGGTAACCCCATACAGGTAACCTCCACCACACAGGTAACCCCATACAGGTAACCCCATACAGGTAACCTCCACCACACAGGTAACCC